ATGTCTAAGCTTTGAAAACATCATTTTGGTAACTTTTTCCACCCAGGCCACACATGCTTCTTGATTGACAATTACATCAACCACATTCATTCCGCCTTTTATGTAAAACTGTCTCAACACTACTTTTTTTTCTAAGACTTTACCAGACTTATTCCATATAAATTTATATATTTTTGAGTTTACCTGTTTTAAACTGTCTGGACATCTAAGAATCATTAGCGTCAATTATGATGCAATTTTTGGGTTTGAACAATATGTACCCTGTATTTTTATTAAGCATTTTCACCTACTTCCCAATTGATTCCTTGCTTTTCAATATTATTTTCATTTTGACGAATTTTACAGGCAAAAATTTCTGTTGATAGGATAAAGGGCCATGAACATAATGAACAGGCTTGCCTCAAACCTTGATCTAAACTGAAGGATTTTGTAAATATCCTATTATTAGAAACTTTAGACTGTGTATATTGCTCAGGTATTGTTTGTTGTATTGGATGAAATGGTTATATTAAATATACTAACCTACACTGTTTCCCTTTTCACCTTTTTGTCCTTTTGGCCCTTGATCACCTCTTCCACCTTTTGGACCAGTTGCCCCATTAGGACCAGTTGGTCCTTGATCACCTTTTGAACCAGTTGCTCCATTTTGACCAGGCGGTCCACAATCACCTTTTCTTCCATTTTGACCGCTTGGTCCAGTTGGCCCTCGATAACCTTTTTCACCTTTTGCACCAGTCTGTCCAGATGCCCCATTAAAACCTGTGTGTCCTCGGTCACCTTTTCCACCAGTCTGTCCAGTAAGACCTTTTGGTCCTTGATCACCTTTTGTCCCTTTTAAACCAGTTGCCCCAATAAAACCTGTTTGTCCTCGATCACCTTTTCCACCTTTGGACCAGCTGTACCATTAAGGCCTGTTGACCCTCGATCACCCTTTGCACCAGTTTGCCCAGTAAAACCTGTTGGTCCTAGATTGCCTTTTGTCCCTTTTTGACCATTTGCTCCTTTAAAACCTATTTGTCCTCGATCACCTTTTCCACCTTTTGGACCAATTGTTCCATTAAGGCCTGTTGACCCTCTATCACCTTTTGCACCAGTTTGTCCCGTAAGACCCGTTTGTCCTTGATCACCTTTTGTCCCTTTTGGACCATTTGCCCCTTTAAAACCTGTTTGTCCTCGATCACCTTTTCCACCTTTTGGACCAGTTGTTCCATTAAGGCCTTTTGACCCTCGATCACCTTTTGCACCAGTTTGTCCAGTAAGACCTATTGGTCCTTGATCACCTTTTGCCCCTTCTGGACCAGTTGTTCCATTAAGGCCTGTCAGCCCTTTATCACCTTTTGTTCCAGTGTGGCCTTGAGCACCTTTTGTCCCAGGAGGACCAGTTGCTCCTTGAATCCCATTGGAGCCTTTACTCCCCTTCAGTCCAGGGGACCAATGGCCCCTTGACTGCCATTTGTACCAGATGCACCTATATCTCCCTTGCTTCCCTTTACTCCTTGAGAACCAGGTTCGCCTGGACTACCATTTTCGCCATTTGTGCCTGATTTTCCTGGCACCCCTCTTTTCCCCGGAAATCCACGCTTTCCTGGAAATCCACGCTTTCCAGGAATACCAGTTTCACCTTTTATACCTTGACTCTTTTCATCAAGTTTTTCTTCCAATTGTTCATTCAGGATTTCCAGTTTGATAACATTTCTCTCCAAAGCTTTTATTTCTGCTGCTTGATCATCAATATCTCTTTGCTGCTCTTTAACAGTGCTTTTTAGTTCATTGACACAGTTTGAAAGTTCATTGACAGTTTTAGTTAGTTGTTGGTCACCAGTTGCTGTTGCTATTGCATTTGTGGTATAAATTTCCGAAATGGTTAGCAGAGTTATTCCAATCCATATAGCATGCATACTTGTAAAATAGAACATTGAGTATATCTATTTTGTTTACAACTTGTGAGTTCCTTTAGATTTGCAGTTGTCTGAATGTTTTGAACAATTTTTTCTTCTTTTATATTTGTCATAGGTCAGGCAGTCCAGTTATATAAAATACTTAAAGATGCAGACCCCTTCTTGTAAATTCTCCTCGCATTTCTTAGTAAATCTACTGATCATACTTATAGCTCAGTCATTTGCTTAATAATATCTTGAAGTTTTAAGATACTTTATAGAAACACAGAAATGGCATAAACATTGAGTATTGAAGAAAATCCCTCAAAATCGGCCCTACATGTCTTTCTTAAATGGCAGGATCTGAACTCAATTAGAGTACCCCCTTTGTAGTTTTGCATTAGGTGATGTAAAACAGGTTCATCCATCTTTTGGCCAACTGTCAGATACCGACTCCTACATTTACATTGATAATTTCATGATTGTATGCAGAAATGAATTATTAACTGGATGGTTGAAAAGAAATTAAAAAAAACATTCTGAATCTGATTGGTTGCCTGAAGAGGGGGATTAACACCAGAATTCAAAGATGACATACGCTTATAATGTAAAACTGTATTGAGATGACATACACCTCTGATTGGTCCAAATCGATAAACAAAAATGGTGGATTCAAAATTTTCTAATAACGCTTCGAATAATATTATGTTGATTCCTGGCGTATTAACCAATAAGATAAAAAAATATGTAAGGAATAGGTTTACATTGATTAAAACATCACGACGACACGTTATGTTCGAAAATTAATTGGTGAGAATTTGCCAAACGAAGGTGGTACGCAAGAGACGTATTATGTCAGTCATCGCTAAAGCTCTGGGGCTTTCCCTCCTCTTGGTTGCCTGGTTGTTGTTGTTTAATGATGCCCATGTCACGTGATAGGATTAGAATTCCCTTCAATGGTGGTATAGCTCAAATTATGTTCAATTCTCGCAGTTAGTTGTTCCGTTGATTTTCTCAATATATTTGCAATACTTTGCCCAAAAGTTTGTCTCAAACAAAACAACCATTTTATGATCAGAGCTTAATACTGACCCACTGTTAAGTTAAGTTGACACCAAGGTCTACCCCTGCATATGTGATTTATCCTTCTAGATACAGTACTTATCTCTTAGGATAGATATATTAGAAACATTTCTACCTGTTAGGGTCTGTATCTTTAATGTAGAAGTGCAGGTTCAGGATCTGTCAACTCAAAAGATGATATGGCGTGAAATAATGAAGGGGAAATCTCAATGATAAATACTGTAGATACACTTATTTTGACGCTATTCAATTTGATGGATTTGCTCAATTTCAAATATTGGCAGCTATTTAATTGAGCGGATTCAGGACTGAAGTATTTTTTATGTCATTAGGACAGGTATTTACTAAGATATTTTCTGTATTTCTTTTGGAATAATGTAGAATTGATGACATGTTGACAGGAAAAGGGGGCCCGGAGCTAAATAAAGTTTATCTACAGTCAGACTTGCCAACCTAAAATGAAAAATTTTGGGAGATTTAAAAAAAATTGTTTTGACGGTAGATTTCTGAAAAACGGGAGTTTTTACGGTAGATTTCTGAAAAAACAGGGAGTTTTGACGGTAGATTTCTGAAAAACTGAGTTTTTACGGTAGATTTCTGAAAAAACAGGGAGTTTTTAAGTTAGATTCTGAAAATTGGGAGTTTTTACGGTAGATTTTTAAAAAAACGGGAGTTTTTACGGTAGATTTCGGAAAAACAGGAGTTTTTACGGTAGATTTCTGAAAAAACTGGAGTTTTTACTTTAGATTTTGAAAAAACAGGAGTTTTTACAGTAGATTTTGAAAGAGCGGGAGTTTTACGGTAGATTTCCGAAAAAACTGGAATTCTTATGGTAGGTTTTTGAAAAACGGGTGTTTTTAGAAAATGGTACGGGAGAAAACGGTATGGGAGTTTAGTATTTTTTACGGAAACACAAAAAATTTACGGGAGGTTGGCAAGTCTGACAGTATCAAACATTATCCAACCAAACAAAAAAGAAGAGGAACTATCCTTGAAGATAAAGAGGAATAATACAATTAACATATAGTCTTGCTTCAAGAATCTGGACCTCCTATTTCTTTATCCACTTGTGTGAAAATGTGTGTACTCAAGTAGTGGGAGAGGGGACACAAGTGCTTGCCCAATAGCACATTCCAATAGCACAATCTCTAATGTGGCTGCTTGCAATATCACAGTATAGTTATTTCTCTCATGAAATTGAGGGAGGGGAGGGGGTTCAAAGCCATTTCAGTTTGCTATCCGAAACATTTCAATTTTTTTGCAATTTTGACTCAGAATGCCTTGGAATGGTTTAAAATTAAAGATTTTATCCATTGCTTTCTTCGTCAAGATCATTCCAATTGATTCTATTCTATTAATATTTTTTCAAATTCTCAAACTGGAAGTCAACGATCAACTTTCATGGTATTTAGTTTTGGGGGTAGGAGGGGCGGTGTCAAAATCAAAACTAGATTTATTTAGTTTCCGATCTGACATCAAACTTTTGATGCCTCCCCTAACATGTGTTTTGTTTGAAGGGATTTGCTACTTTACAGAGCTGCTGTTTATCTACTTGTAATCTAGATAAAAGTGGTTTTGTGTTTTCATAAACAGACGACTGAAATGAAAAATTACTTTTATAAAAGTTTCTTAAAGGACATATTTGTATGCCATAACCCTTTGATATATGAACTTTGGTTATTTTAGAAATTTTGTTCAAGTATAAAGGTCCTTAAGTTTTAAACCACTGAAGCTCATATTGTAGTATCAGTCCTGGTTATCAAAATTTCATATGGGATTTCTATGTCACCACCAGAAGCGTTGACAAACTTTTTGTAGATGGTGTTCGGCATTTAGCGGTTGGTGTTCGGTGATCAGCATTTGGCATCTGTAACAAATGGCAGATGGTGACATTTTGCATGTTAATGCCTTGTTATTATATTGGTGTGGTTATAGGATATACATTTTACTTGTATATTGATACATTCAATAAGACATCCAAAGGTTCTAATTGTACCTTCTGTATTGTATCTTTCAATTTGATGAATTATGTACTTTTAGGTTGAAGCTCTCCGTCAAGGGCTTCTTAAAGTGGTACCCCAGTCAGTGTTAGATTTGCTTACATGGCAGGAATTAGAAAGGCGAATATGTGGAGATCCAGACATTACCATAGAACAGCTCAAAAGATCAAGTATGTTAAAAGATGTATTTATCCCAATGAACGAAGTTCTGTAGGGATATAGTGAAGCCCTCCATCCGTCAGGCAGTCCATCTGTCTGGAAGATAACTCAAATACTAGTTGATGGATTTTCTTCATATTTGGTGGAAAGATGTATCTATATTGGCAAATAGTTTTACTCAAAAACAAGAAAATGCAGCAAACTCCTTGTAGAGATCTCCAAGTCAAAAAGTTGCCTAGCCCATGCAGGCCCTGATACATCGTTTGATTATCCCAATTGTTTCATGATAACTGATTCACTATACATCAAAAACCAAAGATCAAGGTCACAAACGATGTGAAGAAACTTTAAACCAATCAGTGAGGTCCATATTATTTGTTTGTTTAGTTGTTGGTGGGGCAATACGTGTCTGACGTCACTCACCAAGATTGTTATATTAGCTTCATATAGTGTTATATAACGTCATTTGGAACGTGTATCATGTCATTTTACGACATTGCATAATTTTGGCTTCATTTGACATTATATGGAAAACTTAAAAATATAATAATGAGTCAGTATTTTTTCTTAAAAATAATTATGTTTGAATTTGAGGTTAAACTCCGAAAAGGACCATATGCACTCTCCATTGGGACCTCCCCATGAGAAAAAATAATTCATCTGATTTTTCAAAATGAGTATTCTGCTTTAATTATTACATTTATATGCACACGAGTATCTTGTTGACCTATATTCAGCACTGTATTGATGTATAGGCCACTTATTAGGGTCATAATTCAATCATGAAGTGTAGAGGCATAGATTCCAAACCAGGAAGTATTTTTGTGTCTGTCAAAATCCATTTGCATCCGCCTAAGCATCCCTACATCTTATTCAAATATGTTACTACACAATGAAATATAATAGTATATTCTTTGGTTTTACAAAGTTGTATGATTTTTGATTAGTGTAAAAGTTGTTTTTGGAGCATTTTTCTATAGCCATTTTGTAGAGAAAAAAATGATGAAAAAATGCACAATCTTTTAATTTTAAGTATGACCTGAATCGATTGCAAACTTCATATTTGCACATTTGATGAGATAAACCATTTTTGTCATATTGTGAAATTATTAAGTTTGCAATCAATTCAGGTCATAGTGTATTTTTGGTATTTTTGTGATAATCAATGGAAACCAATGGCCTCTATTGGGATCTGCTGATATCCTCATGTTAAGTCAATAATGCACAGTCCCATGTAAGTCAATACAACCTTGCTGAACTAAATGGCCCCTATCTCAGCCTATGTGTGCCCATTTTCCAAAGAGTTATATGACATTCTATTCTTCATGTTACACCTAAGAATTATTCATTTTGACCATAGGGGTATTTGCCAATAAACGCACCTCTCTCTCGATTGATTTAAATCAAGGTGGAAGGAAGTGAAAAAGTGAATTATTACAGGAGCTAACATGATCAATGGTTCACATGATATATTTATGCCACACAAATTCCATGTTTTCCAACCTGACCCCCGGGGAAATAAAGCTTTATTATACTCAAATGAAAGGCAGTTTAAATAGATTGCAAATATCATATCATTTTTTGGCCACATAATGTCAGATTTCGCAATTGTTAGGCCTACCCAATCTCTTCAAAGTATGGCTACATTATGCTCAAATTGAAGGAATTTTAAAGAAGATCACAATCATGGTATTGTTTTTTCTGATTCGTGCCTCAAAGTATGGTTACATTAAACTGCATTAGATTTGAGCCTTTGAAATTCCCAAATGGTCAACCAATGAAATTCATGGAAATTCTGATATATCTCCAGTGTCTGTCTTTTATTATCTGCGAATCAAGGGTAGATGGTAAATACTACAATATGATTTAACAGATTCATGCATGTTCGTTGATATTTGCTACTCCTAGAGTTGCCAATTTCTAGTATACCTTTTTTGGATTTGTCTCATTTTGGAAGGGAAGATTAAATTAAAGCAAAAGCTTTTTTCAGTAGAAGACTCATAATGTCACAAAACATTTGACATATGAAAAAGAATTTGCTTTTAATTGTTCTTTGACTCAATGGCTTTTTACATTTATGCAGTGACCCATGATTTCATGAACAAAATATTTTGTTGTACATGTGCCCAATCTATTTTAGCTCACTATGAAGATCTAGAGGTGACTGACACACGAGTGAAGTATCTCTGGGATGCACTGACTAACTTTTCCAGTGAAGATAGGAGTCGGTTCCTTCGGTTTGTGACTGGTAGACGGAGACTGCCTGCCCCTCTGTATATCTGCCCAGATAAGGGAGAGAGCAATGACGCCCTACCTGAGTCCTCAACATGCTCCAATACACTTTATCTACCAAACTATACATGGTAAACACAATATGGTTGTAATATCATCAAAATATGCAATACTATACACCATTTTAAAGCTACAATTTATGATAAGAGAGAGACCAATGATACCCTACCTGAGTCCTCAACATGCTCCAATACACTTTATCTACCAAACTATACATGGTAAACACAATATGGTTGTAATATCATGAAAATATGCAAAACTATACACCATTTTAAAGCTACAATTTATGATAAGAGACCAATGATACCCTACCTGAGTCCTCAACATGCTCCAATACACTTTATCTACCAAACTATACATGGTAAACACAACATGGTTGTAATATCATGAAAATATGCAAAACTATACACCATTTTAAAGCTATAATTTATGATAAGAGAGAGACCAATGATACCCTACCTGAGTCCTCAACATGCTCCAATACACTTTATCTACCAAACTATACATGGTAAACACAATATGGTTGTAATATCATGAAAATATGCAAAACTATACACCATTTTAAAGCTACAATTTATGATAAGAGAGAGACCAATGATACCCTACCTGAGTCCTCAACATGCTCCAATGCACTCTTCCTACCAAACTATACATGGTAAACACAACATGGTTGTTAAATCACGAAAACATGCAAAACTATACAACATTTTAAAGCTACAATTTGCTTCAAATTATCTTACATTAGTCCATGTTAGGGGAGGCATCAAAAGTTCGATGTCAGATCGGAAATAAATCTAGTTTTGACTTTGACCCCTCCCTCCCTCTAAAACTAAATACTATGAAAGTTGATCGCTGACTTCCGGTTTGAGAATTTGAAAAATGATTTCTAAAACGATCTAGTTTTTTTTGTTAATTTCTATCATAATTTGTGGCTTTTAACAACTATTGATAGAATAGAATTCATTGGAATGATCTTGACGAAGAAAGCATCAGGTAAAATCTTTATTTTTGGCTCACACAGTGAGCCTATGGGATTGACCAGGCGTCCGTCCGTTGGTCCATCCGTCCATCCGTTGGTCCGTCCGTCTGTCAACATTGGCCGCACAAATTAAAACTGCTATTCGGATTGAGTCATACCCACAGTCATTTTATGCATATCCATAATGCCTATTTGACCTATCATCGCCATTTCCCAAGTTCGCCTGGTTTCCGAGAAATTGCTGATTTTGATGTCAAAAAGTCAAATTTTCTGTAAATACTAGACACTTTGTTGAAGTAGAACTTTCAAATAATTTGTAGTAGTTGCTGTATATGCAACTTATGTCCTCTGAAGATTTCAAAGCTCTTGGAATTACTGTATTTGGTGTTTACTCTGTAAAATTTGACAAAAAGTAGGACTTGTCATTTTCAGGAAACTTTCTTATGTATAAAGTCAATGGCAGGTTTTGTGATTGACAAGTTTCTCAGTTTCCCTTATACTTGATCATTTCTTGCAATGAATTACATCATAACTAGATTTAAGCAAAAGACCTTACTGATCTCTAAATAAGTAAAATTTTCAAGGTCAAAGGTCATCAAACTAGGTCACACAACTGTGCTGTCTATAAGTTTCTCAAAGTTCGAGACTACAAATCCAAATCAATATTTTTGTTTGAAAGTCAGGATATACATTCCTCTGAAGGTTCCAAACTGTGTGAGCACAGGACCGTGGGTCCTATTTTTAAATCATTCCAAGGCATTCCAAGTAAAAATTGCAAAAAAATTGAAATGTTGAAATTTGTCGGATAGCAAACTGAAATGGCTTTGAACCCACTCCCCCTTACTAGATTTATTTAGTTTTCGATCCAACATCGAACTTTTGTTGCCTCCCTTTAGCATCTATGTCAGTCTTCAAAAATTCAAATCAGCTCTGAGTTTATTCTTTGGCATAAAGGGTGACAGGAGCTAGCTAGGCGTAGTCTTTTCAAAAAGAAACATATTCATCATTTTAAAATTCCAACATTTTTTAATAGAAGTTCATTGCTATTTCAACTCTTCAATAACAATCCATTTTTCATAATGACAATTAATCTCTTTATACTTTGTTGTTTTTTCAGTGCCAAAGTTGCTGAGGCAAAACTTCGCTATGCAGCGTATAACTGTGTAGCTATAGACACTGATATGAACCCCTGGGATGAATGATCGTGAGAAGACTGTAATGTGTTACATTAGTACTAACCTATGATTCACTGTCTGAGTTGTGGCAACTTCAACGTACTCTAATGGGGCATTGTCCTAGTTTGTATTGGAGTACCTGGATCTACCTTGATATGCTTTTTGATGTTATAAAATAAACAAGCCATCTGTCATCTTGATTCATAAGGTTTAGTTGCTCTATTAGTGCAAGTTATTTCTGGGCATCTCTAGCAAACCCTGGATGCACTAATAACATCACAAGGTAACAAAGTTATGTCTGTTCTGCAGTATATTTTTGATCCCACATTGTGGTACATGTTCTTCCTTATATTAGTTTATACTGGCTTATTATCCCTAATATTTTCTTTTCTATATGCAGAAAGTGAGTTCTAGCTGACTTATACTACTGTAGATTGGGTTAATTTGGCGCCCGCTTTAATTTGGCGAATTTGGCGAAATTGAAAAATTCGCCAATATAAATCTCCGCCAAAATTTAGAATGAATCCCCGGGAATCATCTAGGGTATTTCGTCCAGTGTATTAAGGTCACTTCCGGTTTATTTTTTCCAAAAATATGAAAAAATGTCTCTCATAAATTGGCTCAGAACTGGTCAGTCACTCATTTATACTCAGGGAAAAGTAGCAGCATCGATTGAGGTGTAAAATGTAAAGGATGATCTCACAAAAATGTACAAACGTGGTGAATATCGCCAGTGGTCCTCAAAAGAAAAAATGAACATAGCCAAACATGCCCATTTAGATCTAGATCTACATGGTAATTCGCAAAAAGCGCGTAAGTTTAACATTCCATTAACATTTTTTTGGCATATCCGCCAAATTAAATAGCCGCCAATATGCCAAAAATGGCAAAATCGCCAAATTAAGTAGCGCCAAATTAACCCAATCTACAGTATTTACTATTGGAACTCAGTGTATCACAGACATGCATTTTTGTGTAATACCACTCATTACTTCAGTGTGTCCAGGATAATGTTGCAGTATTGTGTAATCAAATAAGCATACAAAATGTTTGTATTGTTTGTATATAATTATTAAACAATATAGTAAACGTGCACAAGAGTTAAAAGGGAGGTTAAAAGCTGCACAATCATCAAAAATTCTTCACACTGCAAGATAATGTGTAGTATGAGTTTTGAGAGGTCTATTTTAATATAACACCTGTTATTCTTTCAATCATTGGTGTATTCCCATTGTAGAATTTTTGAGTGCTACAGTTATCCACTGAAAATAAAATTACAAACAAATCATAAAAGTTTGCTTTATTGTGTAAAGTATGTTAGTGTTTATGTTGAACTATTATGGGATGGATTATAGCTTGACACTACAAAAAAGATTACAGCCAATGAATCTGGGAATATGCCCTTGTGAATATGCCTTCTGAATGATGTATCTTGAGCAGGGAATATGCTTTTCATTTTAAGATTACATGTATGACATGAATGTCACAGACTATTAATTTATATAATGTTAGGAATATGATTGCTGTATTTTACTTTACCATTTATTTCATAAAATGCCAAATCAGATCAAATAATGCTGAAACTACAGTCAAGATAGAAGAATAATGAAAAAATTAGATTCCAGGTCAACTGAAATTGTTTCACTTTTAAAATGTGTCTAAATAAAGTCTTCAATTGTCCCAGAAGTGGCATCTCACCTTGTCTCAAATGTGCCCAAAATTCAGAGTTTCAGCTCTTTTTGGTCATAACTCCACATGCATTCCATCAATTTGCTTGAAACTGTAAAAGTCTTTTTGGACATAACTCATCAATTTGCTTGAAATTGTACAGGTACCTTAATTCCTAGATTATCAATAATGTAACACAGCTTCAAAATGGCCGTCACTTTTATTGTGGAAAATTGTGATTAGTCTGCTAAGTATGAGTAAGCTTATTCTTATTATCTTATTTTTAGACCAAACCATTTCACTGCATATGTGCTTTATATACTTGAAGAATAATCAATGACTTAAACTGACACTGTATCTCTTAGGGTCTGCATCTTTAGTGCAAAATCATGAGATCTAGGATCTCAAGATATGTGTTCTGGAGCGTTGAAAGGGGAAATGTCAATAGCAATAAAAATTTATCCTTGTCATATAATATCACTGAATTTAAACTCTAGAGTCGAGTCTAGAGGTAGATTTTTTTTTTCAATTGTTTTTCTTAAACAGATGTTCAACTCAAAATGAAAAATTGTTACTAAAGTTACCGGTTTACATATCCTATGAATGGAGAAGTTACCTTAAACTTTTTAAAGTATAAAGGCCCTATGGAATGTTTGAATCATTTTATAGATTATATTGTAGTCCTAGTCCTTGTTAACAAGATTTGATATGGGAAATTCTCTTTGATTCCAGTAAGTTCTTTTTGAAATACCTCTGTATGGAAATGTTAAAATTATACAAAATAACTCAAACAAGGCATTAACATGAAAAATGTCACAACCTACCATTTGTTACAGATGCCAAACGGTACACCATCCACCGAATGCTGAACACCAACAAAAAGTTGGAGTTACTATAACAATATGTCACCACTTGTGGTGGTAACATAAAAATGATTCTCACATTCTGACTTGATTCTCACAATAAGGCCACAATGAAATTCAACCTTTATTTTAAGGAAAGTCATCTCACTTTTCTAAAATATATATTTCAAATTGTTCAGTTGTTTCAACATCAATCCTTAAACATAAAAGTTTAAATACCATAAAAATAGTATTATCGCCAGAATATTTTTAATAGCATTTTTCCATAATAAGATTTACATAGCAGGACAATTTTCATCTACGTATTTATAGATAATAACTAATAATTCTTTAATATAGTATATTTTTTTATTTACAACCCACATAATATTTTTACTGCAAACATTGCACTTAAATATAATAACAAAGTAAAAACAATTCATAATCAACATTGCAACTAACCAAATTCGGCAATTATTGGTTTAATAATCATTTGGCCCAAAATTAGGTTTGGATTTGCAGTATGCATGAAATATAACAACATAAAACCTGTACACAACTGGCTTAAAGTGTTTCCATAGCAGAGTGGTGTTTCCAAATAGAGGTTATGGTAACACTAGAGAGTGCATGATCAAAACAATCTGGGGTTATGGTAACACTAGAGAGTCCATGGCCAAAACAATCTGGGATTATGGTAACACTAGAGAGTCCATGGTCAAAACAATCTGGGGTTATGGTAACACAAGAGAGTCCAAGACCAAAACAATCTGGGGTTATGGTAACACAAGAGAGTCCATGATCAAAACAATCTGGGGTTATGGTAACACTAGAGAGTCCATGGTCAAAACAATCTGGGATTATGGTAACAATAGAGTCCATGGTCAAAACAATCTGGGATTATGGTAACACTAGAGAGTCCATGGTCAAAACAATCTGGGGTTCCAGATTATTGTATGTACATAACTATAGAGTCCATGACCAAAACAATCTGGGGTTATGGTAACACAAGAGTCCATGATCAAAACAATCTGGGGTTATGGTAACACTAGAGAGTCCATGACCAAAACAATCTGGGTTTATGGTAACACTAGAGAGTCCATGGTCAAAACAATCTGGGATTATGGTAACACTAGAGAGTCCATGGTCAAAACAATCTGGGGTTATGGTAACAAAAGAGAGTCCATGATCAAAACAATCAGGGGTTATGGTAACACTAGAGAGTCCATGGTCAAAACAATCTGGGATTATGGTAACACTAGAGAGTCCATGGTTAAAACAATCTGGGGTTCCAGATTATATGTACATCACTAGAGAGTCCATGACCAAAACAATCTGGGGTTATGGTAACACAAGAGTCCATGATCAAAACAATCTGGGGTTATGGTAAAACAAGAGAGTCCATGATCAAAACAATCTGGGTTTATGGTAACACTAGAGTCCATGATCAAAACAATCTGGGGTTATGGTAACACAAGAGTCCATGATCAAAACAATCAGGGGTTATGGTAAAACAAGAGAGTCCATGATCAAAACAATCTGGGGTTATGATAACACTAGAGAGTCCATGATCAAAACAATCTGGGGTTTTGGTAACCCTAGAGAGTTGATTATCAAAACAATCTGAGATAAAAAGATAATGTTGATGGTATTAATTCTACATTAAATAAAGAACTGTTCACAAACACCAAGTTTATTTTACTGTACCATACATGCTTTTTTAACATGCAATCCCTACGCTCCCCTTAAGTTTGAAATCCCCAACACACCATGATTAGATTATGAGTTTAACATGCTATCCAATGATGAGTCTGTGTTGTTAAACTTTTAGAATAGAACTGTATATGTGGATAGTAACAGTTTCTGTAATGTAGAAGTTCAACTGAAAGGAGATGTTTGCATGGAATTGAACTAATATATATTTGGTAAAATGTTTAATATCTACATGTATAGTTACATAGTGATTGGACAGACATGTATTTTTACATGTATTTTGTGGTATGTTTACATGGATATTTAGTTATTAAAGTTTATGTCAACAGTGCAAGGTAACAAATTAAAGTTCCCATTCCTAATGAATTATGATGCATCAAAATGAAATATGGCAAAAGAGAGACTACATTCATGTAATTACATGTACAAGTAGATAGAATATGAACCTTTGTATTATTGAGGTACTCAGGTATGGATTTAAAGGATATGTTAGGCTTATATATAGACTTGAAGCAATTCTTTCTGATATGCATTTTATCATAACTTAGGGACATTCCTGTACATTTGACACTTTCTACACACAATCACTTTTGTTTAATAGATGCATGATAAAACCATTTCATTAACACCAAAAACATAAGGATCAATTTTCTAGCATGCCATTTTAAGGTTGGGGATAGGTTGCTTGTACATTTTTAAACAAATTGAATTAAGTGTACTAGTGTGAAATGTTTGAGATGACCCCTAACTGCGTCATCTTTGATTAATATCAACACAATTTCATACAAATCTAAACTCTACATTGGCAATTTGTGTAGAATTCTGAAAATTTCATATTGGTTTTGAAGCTAACAGAAAGAGAAACCTTCCGTATGTGTCTATAAAAAGTTGCTTCATTAGTAGGCCCACAAGGTTGGATCAAGATATGTTGATTGAAAGACATTAGTGCCCATCCCAAGCTGAGAGTCCTCTCTTCTAAAGGCAGAGTCATTAGCTCAGAGAGCGACCCCCTGTTTAGTACATCTATAAAGAGGTGGCCACAGGAAGGCCAGGATATGTAGATAGACTAGAGCTCATATAGATATTAATGACCATCCCAAACTGAGAGTTCTCCCTTGTAGAAGGCAAGGTTATTAGCTGGTAGAGGGACTTCTCTGGATTCTCCTGGCATGTGACCATTATCCTCTAAAACATCCCCTTTCTGAAATAATGGATGAAATACTATATTCAAGCATGAAATTTTCAAGCAAGTCATTCAGTGCAAATGCGATTCTTTCATTCTCTCTTGCAGATGTTTAATTTCCCAAAATTTTGAGCTACATTAATAACCAGATTTGTTAACAAGGATCTGCAGATAAGAGAGATTATAAGGAATACAGTAAACAAACTGCTTCATAAATATGATGAAATATAATATGAACAAATGATGTAGAAGAATACAAAAGTTATTACTCAGTAGTACAGTATCAGTTCAAAATCCTATATGTTACAATGCAACAAACTTATACAGTTTCTTTCTATGTATGGTTTTATTTATTTAACTTGAGGCAGACATACCTGATGTTCTGATATGAAGGAGAGCAGATTTAGAGAGAGAGTCCGGCTGGATTGAAGCAATTTTTCCAAACTATAAAAAAGATTAAACAATATAGGGCAAATAGGTTTGACCAGATAAAGAATGCTTTTTTCATGAAACTGTTTTCAAGAGAATATTCTCAGGATCACAAATACTATGTATGACATGCTTTCTAGGGTTCCTGAAGAGTTCATTCAAATAAGGAAAGTTGCCACTCAATAAAATGTAAAATATATTTTATAAAATAGTACCCTGGGTACTGGGCTCACATGGTATTGCTCAAAAGTGAATGATGGCTAAAATGACAGAAAATAAAAAAATATATATATTATTTTTTGCTGATTTTTTGTAACAAAATTATTTCAAGCCACTTGCCACTATTTTGGACTGACTGAGACAGATGGACAAATTGATGTTAAGTAAAATGGCTGAAAAAAAAACAGATATAATTTTTTGCCAATTATTTGTAACAAAATTATTTCATACAACTACTCTTTACAGTGACATGGCTTTTTGCAATGCAGGACACCTGAAATTATTTGTAAAGCTAGGAAATGGGCCAAAATTGAATTTCGAAAGACAAAAATGGCGACCATTTTGAAAATAGGCAATCTTTTGAACCAGGAGTCATAGGGGAGTTTTTTGTATTGATGTTGAACAAAATTAACTTATAACGGGAATCCTATCGGCAGAGGGTTTACGGCAAATGGTCCAAAAGTGAATTTTGCGAGACAGATGGACAAATCAATGTTAACTAAAATGGCTGAAAATAGAACAATGGATAAAATTTTTTGCTGATTTCTCGTAGCAAGATTATTCCATACATCTACACTTTACATTGACATGGATATTAACAATGTAGGACACTTCAAATTATTTGTAAAGCTAGGAAATGGGTCAAAAGTGAATTTTGTGAGACAAAAATGGCGGCCACTTTGAAAATAGGCGAGCTTTTGAACCAGGGTTTATAGGGGAGTTTTCTGTATTGATGTTGAACAGAAATAACTTAAAACAGGAATCCTATCGACAGAGGTTTTAAAACGTGCCACTGTTGTTGACGGAAAAGTGCATTTCGCGAGTCAGATGGACAAATCAATGTTAAGTAAAATGGCGGAAAATAAAAAAATGGATATAATTTTTTGCCGATTTTTTGTAACAAAATGATTTCAAATATCTACTCTTTACATTGACATGGATTTTTACAATGTAGGACACCTGAAATTATTTGTAAAGCTAGGAAATGGGTCAAAAGTGAATTTCGCGCGACAAAAATGGTGGCCATTTTGAAAATAGGCGAGCTTTTGAACCAGAAGTCATAGGGGAGTTTTCTGTATTGATGTTGAACAGAAATAACTTAAAACAGGAATCCTATCGACAGAGCTTTTAAAACGTGCCACTATTGTTGACGGACGGACGCACGCACGCACCTACAGACGGACAAGTGAGTGAGAGGTAAAGACAAATGAGTTTTAAAAATATGTATGCCTTTTACTCAGTTGATCAAGTTACTACATAATGGCCTAAACATGATTTAAAGATAAGTGAGCGTGAGGCAAGTTTTAAAAATATGAAGTGAATTTTGTTTCGACAGTTTCAGTTTAAAAAATCAACAGAAAAAGATTGTTTCTGAAAAATGTTCACTCCTCTCAGGCCCGTAGCCAGGATTTGCCAAGGGGGGTTCAATTTTCAAAAACTTCCAGGGGGGTTCACATTTGACAATTTTGGCCCAAATACGGCTAAAATCACTTGAGAAGTGCTCAAAATGGTGAAAAACTGCATGATTTTGAAAGATTTTTGGCCGGGGGGGGGGGGGTTTGCCCGAACCCTGCAAACGCCCTGACTAGGGGCCTGCCTCTGTCACAATAATGACAGAACTTATTTTTCTATCAAATTCCCCAAATTTCTATCAAATTCTCACCTGTTTTCCCTACAAAGACCATGTGCAGCTATCCTCTCACACACTTGTTTATTTACACAACTATCAAACAGAGGCAGACCAAAGCTACAGTCTAGTAATGTCCAATCTGCCTGATCTGAGTCCTTTGCTAAGCCTGTCTCCTCTCCTATATCTAAACTAAAGTCTGCTTTGTTCATAGGTGTTTCCTGTTTTGAGGGTGGTGCATCACCCGCTCCACCCCCTCTCTCATTTGTAGAGTCATTAACAGAGTCTATTTCAAGCGCTAGTACTTTAGCTGAGTCATGATCCTTTAAGCCATTCTTGGGCTGGCTATCTGAGCTTCTGGATCTGTTTGATGTGCGTGGATTGATGTTCTCCCCTGACTTGCCTGTCCGTAGTAGGGTAATGAAGCCACAAGAGTGGGCTAGGTCTAGAGAGTTAGAGAGGTCTTGTATTGCACTGTGTTCAGGGGGATTCCAAGTCAGATAGGCACCTGAAAGACAGAGTATGCTTGACCAAAGGAAGAAATAAGTCAAATCTGCAAATTATTACTTCAAAAAGACATAATGTAGAAGATATCTCATGACGTCATATATTATTCATAGAAAATATATTTCAGAATTTGTCCTATAGTGAATTCAAAATGCTTGTAAACTTGATCTATCTTTAATACCAAAGAAATGATGTTTTACTGGATATCTAAAGGAAGCAAGATGGTCAATGTTTTGTACATTATACATTCACCAAAAACAACTGAGAAATCAGATTATCAGCCTGTGGATTGAGATTGCTCACACTTTCCCTGTGCCACTGAGAAGATTGAATTGCAAACAATTGTGCCCATTCATACATGTTTATAACTTTCACATACCGGATTTATCTTGTTTGTTGATTGGAAATGGCACAAATATAGTTTCACCATCACTTTGCCAGCCATGGGCCTGAAATGTACATGTTAAACATAATCAAAATAACAATAGGAAGGAATATTTTTACAAAACTTGGACCTACGTATGAAAATATTGAGGTTGATGATCTTTGGTTGAAATAATCTTGTGCAATGTAAATAAACTAGTGCTGCCATCTTTTACCATTAAAGAATACATTTTATAATATTTTGAATGGTGATTTTTGCAATTAAGAATGTTTTTATTATCCAGGACAAAAAGTTAAATCAATGCAGTTAAATATTTAGTACATGTACCACTACTATGCCAAGACCCTGTATGTATTCCCTCCACATTCCTTCTTTAGTGCAGGTTGAGAGGGAATGGAGGTTGGAGGGTTTAGACAAGACATGTCCCTTGCTTTAGATTCTCTTTGAGGTCAATAGTAAGTTAATCACAAGAACACAAATGTGTACAAAATGCCCCCACCAATGGTTATCCCGTCAAATGGTTATCCTGAAAATGAGTAGACAAGACTTTACCAACACAATTTGAGGACGGAAAGTCCAAAATGGCCACCTTAAAATTTACCCAGAATGCCAAAAATTTTGTCAGTTCTAGATTTTCATACTAAGAACCACCCCTGAAAATTTGAAATTGATCCGTCACACAGTTAACCAGAAAACATGTGAACAAGACTTTACAGACAAGATTTTAGGATGGAAAATCAAAAATGGCTGCCTTGACATTTACCCAGAATGTCAAAAAACGAATCTGTTTCTAGATTTTCATACTAAGAATCATCCCTGAAAATATGAAATCGATCTACCAAACGGTTTACTTGAAAACACGTAGACAAGACTTTACAGACAAGATTTTCGGACAGAAAATCCAAAATGGCTGCCTTGACATTTAAGCAGAATGCAAAAAAACTAATCAGATGTAGATTTTCATCCTAAGAATCATCCCTGAAAATTTGAAATTGCTCTATCAAACAGTTCTGCTTAAACGTGTAGACAAGACTTGACAGGCAAGATTTTAAGACGGAAAATCCAAAATGGCTGCCTTGACATTTATCCAGAATGCCAAAAAACTAATCAGATCTAGATTTTCATACTAAGAATCATTCCTGAAAATTTGAAATTGACCTACAGAACGGTTCACCTGGAAATGCGTAGACAAGACTTTACAGACAAGATTTTAGGACGGAAAATCCAAAATGGCTGCCTTGACATTTACCAAGAATGCCAAAAAACTAAACAGATCTAAAATTTTATACTAAGAATCATCCCTGAAAATTTGAAATTGATCCACCAAACGGTTCACCTGAAAATGCGCAGACAAGACTTCACAGACAAGATTTTAGGACGGAAAAATCCATAATGGCTGACAATAAAAAAGTGATTATGAGTTTTTGCTGATTTTTTTTTACAAAATTATAACATATAACTACTGTTAACAATAACATAGGCTTTTACAACAACATACATCTGAAATTATTTATAAAGCTACTAAATAGTTAAAGTATGAAAATTCAAAAACACCATTCAATGTGATACAAAGTATTATCGCTCGCTAACTTTTCTTAAGACATTCAAAATGGCTGACATGACTGAGCTAACAGGTCCAAAACCTAATCAGATCTAGAATGAAGTGAGCTGAACAAGATGTTAAAGTTTTAAAAGCAACTGTGAAGCCGTTTTTCTTAAAGTTTGTAGACAAGGATTTTAGCATTTGACTTCAAAATGGCCGACAGGAAGTAGGTTTCGAGTTAAATTTTTTTCATCCACATCTATATCCGTATATGCACTCATAAGTTATCCATGAAAATTTGAAGGTGATATATGTAGCAGTTTTGGAGAAAACTCCCGGACGTGAGGACGGACAGACAGATGGACGCGCCTAGGCCGACAATATGGCCCCACACTATGTGGTGGGGACATAATAAAAGTACAACAGTAACCCATTTCTGGTGAACTGATTTAGCAACTTATTTTATATAGAACCATACATGGACCCACCTGGACTAAGACTGCAGAATGAGACAAGGCATCGTTGAGTGTTAAAAGAATGTTTGAAGTAGGAATTACCCCTGGGTCATGCCCCCAGGTAGTCACCAATAATCTGTCATAATCGTGAAACATACGTGGTAGACGCCTCAATTTTGTACCCTTGGAAAGCATCAGTGAGGCTGGCCCACTGCCTGTAGTGTGGTATGCATACATCTTAAACCACATACTGTTAACCTCTGGGATTGCTGGCCCAATGTGCTGTGGAGTACAGCTACTGATTGGCCTGACTTCATTACTTAAAGGAGCCATTGAGAAAAGAAGACTGTAGTTTTTGTTGAGTACCCTAGAACATGTGGCTGGATCGAGCCCTAGGAGGCTCTCACAGCGCAGTAGATCAATCCCCAGTCCCGTACCCTCTCCATCAACGCTTAGATCTTTATTGAAGCGCAGGAATTTGATGGTGTCACGTAGAGTGATTGCGTGGTCAAAGTAACGTTGGGCTTCCCCCTCAGCCACTGAGTCCACCTTGTCTAATTCTGATATGAAGCTCTCCAGTGATTCATCACTTAATTTGCCAACCTCAAACATCGTAACTGCATGGCTCTTGAGACCCTGAAAATAACAAACATTATTACTGCATGGTTCATGAGATGTGGAAGGAACAAACAAAATGGAAAAGTATAAATACAACCATTGTCTAGTTGAAAGCCCATCATACAACTCAAAATATTTTTCAAAATTATTAATAAATACATGATCATCTAGAAAAAATTAGTACCATGGGTACTGGGCTCACATGGTAACAGAAAACAACGGATATAATATTTTGCCGATTTTTTGTTACAAAATTATTTCAAGCCATCTGTCTCTCAGTCAATTAAAATGGCTGAAAAAAAACGGATATAATTTTTTGCCAATAATTTGTAACAAAATTATTTCATACAACTATTCTTTACAGTGACATGGCTTTTTGCAATGCAAGACACCTGAAATTATTTGTAAAGCTAGGAAATGGGCCAAAATTGAATTTCGCGAGACAAAAATGGCGACCATTTTGAAATCAGGCAAGCTTTTGAACCAGGAGTCATAGGGGAGTTTTTTGTATTGATGTTGAACAAAAATAACTTGAAACTGGAATCCTATCGACAGAGGTTTTAAGCAAATGGTCCAAAAGAGGATTTCGCGAGACAGATGGACAAATCAATGTTAACTAAAATGGCTGAAAATAAAAAAAACGGATATAATATTTTGTCGATTTTTTGTAACAAAATTATTTCATACAACTACCTTTTACAGTGACATGGCTTTTTACAATGCAGGACAGCTGAAATTATTTGTAAAGCTAGGAACTTGGCAAAAAGTGAATTTCGCGAAACAAGAATGGCAACCATTTTGAAAATAGGCGAGCTTTTGAACCAAGAGTCATAGGAGAGTTTTTTGTATTGATGTTGAACAAAATTAACTTAAAATGGGAATCCTATCGACAGAGGGTTTAAGGTAAATGGTCCAAAAGTGGATTTTGCGAGACAGATGGACAAATCAATGTTAACTAAAATGGCTGAAAATAAATAAATGTATATAATTTTTCGCTGATTTTTCATAACAAAATTATTTCATACATCTACTCTTTACATTGACATGGATTTTTACAATGTAGGACACTTGAAATTATTTGCAAAGCTAGGAAATGGGTCAAAAGTGAATTTCGCGAGACAAAAATGGTGGCCATTTTGAAAATAGGCGAGCTTTTGAACCAGGAGTCATAGGGGAGTTTTCTGAATTGATGTTGAACAGAAATAACTTAAAACAGGAATCTTATCGACAGAGGTTTTAAAACGTGCCACAGAAAGTGGATTTCGCGAGTCAGATAGACAAATCAATGTTAACTAAAATGGCTGAAAATAAAAAAATGGATACAATTTTTCGCTGATTTTTTGTAACAAAATTATTTCATATATCTATCCTTTACATTGACATGGATTTTTACAATGTAGGACACCTGATTTGTAAAGCTAGGAAATGGGTCAAAAGTGAATTTCGCGAGACAAAAGTGACGGCCATTTTGAAAAAAGCCGAGCTTTTGAACCAAGAGTCATAGGAGAGTTTTTTGTATTGATGTTGAACAAAAATAACTTAAAATGGGAATCCTATCGACAGAGGGTTTAAGGTAAATGGTCCAAAAGTGAATTTTGCGAGACAGATGGACAAATCAATGTTAACTAAAATGGCTGAAAATAAATAAATGGATATAATTTTTCGCTGATTTTTCGTAACAAAATTATTTCATACATCTACTCTTTACTTTGCAATGGATTTCTACAATTTAGGACACTTGAAATTATTTGTAAAGCTAGGAAATGGGTCAAAAGTGAATTTCGCGAGACAAAAATGGTGGCCATTTTGAAAATAGGCGAGCTTTTGAACCAGGAGTCATAGGGGAGTTTTCTGAATTCATGTTGAACAGAAATAACTTAAAACAGGAATCCTATCGACAGAGGTTTTAAAACGTGCCACTGTTATTGACAGAAAGTGGATTTCGCGAGTCAGATAGACAAATCAATGTTAACTAAAATGGCTGAAAATAAAAAAAATGGATACAATTTTTCGCTGATTTTTTGTAACAAAATTATTTCATATATCTAATCTTCACACTGACATGGATTTTTACAATGTAGGACACCTGAAATTATTTGTAAAGCTAGGAAATGGGCCAAAAGTGAATTTCGCGAGACAAAAGTGACCGCCATTTTGAAAATAGGTGAGCTTTTGAACCAGGAGTCATAGGGGGGTTTTCTGTATTGATGTTGAACAGAAATAACTCAAAACAGGAATCCTATCGACAGAGGTTAGCTAGGAAATGGGCTAAAAGTGAATTTCGCGAGACAAAAGTGACGGCCATTTTGAAAATAGGCGAGCTTTTGAACCAGGAGTCATAGAGGGGTTTTCTGTATTGATGTTGAACAGAAATAACTTAAAACAGGAATCCTATCGACAGAGGTTTTAAAACGTGCCACTATTGTTGACGGACGGACGGATGGACGGACGGACGGACGGACGGACGGACGGACAGACGGACGGACAGACAGACGGACAAGTGAGTGATTGCAAAAGCTCACCATGTGAGCTAAAAACACTTTAAATTACTTTACAAACCTAAAGTGTCAATTGAGTATTATAATGATTCAATGTTTCTTACTGGTGAGAGGTTGCCCATCATGAGGAAAGCTGTCAATGTGGAGTCAAACAGGAATGCTATCCTTTTAGAATGCCCTATAGTACTGGACTCTGAAACAAAATAGATCGATACAATGGTCTGTTTTTTCAGTCTGAAGAAAATCTTAAGTTGCTTATAATGCTTGAAACAAAGTCATTTAAAGTGGAATATCTGAATAAATTCTATGAATAAACAAGACACGCCGTGATAACTATTGCACTTTGAAGACCAAAATAACTGCAAAGTAATTTACACAGCAAGCCCAAAACCTAATCAAATCGTGTTACTAGTCCTCTCTTTCATCTGTTCAATTTCAAATTGAATAAATATGTGACTTTCCTGAAATATTGATGACAAGATTAACATTGCACCTGCCTGCCCACTCCAGATGCCCCAGCACTTATTAGCACAAGATGACGACAATGTGGCATTTTGATAAAGTGTAACAAGAACACAAATGTGTACAAAATGTCCCCACCTATGGGTGATCCCGTCAAATGGTTATCCTAAAAATGAGTAGACAAGACTTTACCGACACAATTTGAGGACGGAAAATCCAAAATGGCCACCTTAAAATTTACCCAGAATGCCAAAAAATTAGTTAGTTCTAGATTTTCATACTAAGAACCACCCCTGAAAATTTGAAATTGATCCGTTACACAGTTAACCAGAAAACATGTAAACAAGACTTTACAGACAAGATTTGAGGACAGAGAATCCAAAATGGCTGCCTTGACATTTATCCAGAATGCCAAAAAACGATTCTGTTCTAGATTTTCATACTAAGAATTATCCCTGAAAATTTGGAATTGATCTACCAAACGGTTCACCTGGAAATGCGTAGACAAGACTTTACAAACAAGATTTTAGGACAGAAAATCCAAAATGGCTGCCTTGACATTTACCCAGAATGCCCAAAAACTATTCAGATCTAGATTTTCATACTAAGAATCATCCCTAAACAATTTGAAATTGATCTACCGAACAGTTCACCTAAAAACGCATAGACAAGACTTTACGGGCAAGATTTTAGGACAGAAAATCCAAAATGGCTGCCTCGACATTTACCCAGAATGCCCAACAACTAATCAGATCTAGATTTTTATACTAAGAATCATCCCTGAAAATTTGAAATTGATCTACCAAACGGTTCACCTAAAAACGCGTAGACAATACTTTACGGGCAAGATTTTAAGACGGAAAATCCAAATTGGCTGCCTTGACATTTATCCAGAATGCCAAAAAACTAATCAGATCTAGATTTTCATATTGAGAATCATCCCTGATAATTTCAAATTGATCTACCAAACGGTTCAACTGGAAATGCGTAGACAAGACTTTACAGACAAGATTTTAGGACGGAAAATCCAAAATTGCTGCCTTGACATTTACCCAGAATGCCCAAAAACTAATCAGATCTAGATTTTCATACTGAGAATCATCCCTGAAAATTTGAAATTGATCTACCAAACAGTTCACCTGAAAATGTGTAGACAAGACTTTACAGACAAGATTTTAGGATGGAAAATCCAAAATGGCTGCTTTGACATTTACCCAGAATGCCCAAAAACTAATCAGATCTAGATTTTCATACTAAGAATCATCCCTGAAAATTTGAAATTGATCTACCAAACGGTTCACCTAAAAACGCGTACTTTACGGGCAAGATTTTAGGACAGAAAATCCAAAATGGCTGCCTCGACATTTACCCAGAATGCCCAACAACTAATCAGATCTAGATTTTCATACTAAGAATCATCCCTGAAATTTTGAAATTGATCTACCAAACGGTTCACCTAAAAACGCGTAGACAATACTTTACGGGCAAGATTTTAAGACGGAAAATCCAAATTGGCTGCCTTGACAATTATCCAGAATGCCAAAAAACTAATCAGATCTAGATTTTCATATTGAGAATCATCCCTGAAAATTTTAAATTGATCTACCAAACGGTTCACCTGGAAATGCGTAGACAAGACTTTACAGACAAGATTTTAGCACGGAAAATCCAAAATGGCTGCCTTGACATTTACCAAGAATGCCCAAAAATTAATCAGATCTAGATTTTTATACTGAGAATCATCCCTGAAAATTTGAAATTGATGTACCAAACGGTTCACCTGAAAATGTGTAGACAAGACTTTACAGACAAGATTTTAGGACGGAAAATCCAAAATGGCTGCCTTGACATTTACCCAGAATGCCAAAAACTAATCAGATCTAGATTTTCATACTCAGAATCACTCTGAAAATTTGAAATTGATTCACCTGAATCACCTGAAAACGCGTAGACAAGACTTTACAGGCAAGATTTTAGGACGGAAAAATCCAAAATGGCCGACAATAAAAAAGTGATTATGAGTTTTTGCTGATTTCTTTTTACAAAGCAACTGTGAAGCCGTTTTTCTTAAAGTTTGCAGACAAGGATTTTAGCATTTGACTTCAAAATGGCCGACAGGAAGTAGGTATCGAGTTAATTATTTTTCATCCACATCTGTATGCACTCATAAGTTATCCCTGAAAATTTGAAGGTGATATCTGTAGCGGTTTTGAAGAAAACTGCCGGATGTACGGACAGATGGAAAGACAGACCGACAGACAGACAGACAGATGGACGGACGCGCCTAGGCCGACAATATGGCCCCACACTATGTGGTGGGGACATAATAAAAACTAACCTAAAGCTCCATCAAGGCTCTGTGTGTCTGGAGTTGTAGTCTCTTGTTCACTGGAGGACTCAGTACCAGGGGTCAGTTCTAATGTTGTACTCCAGTCTATCAACATCTGATCCTGACTAGGCCTGCAGTGAATGAAACACAGAATAAGTAAAACGTAATGGGAAAACATCCCAAATGTGCCTCTGAAAGTCTTCTATGTACAGGGACAAAAGTACTGACACAAAAGTAATATTTTACAATTACAATACAGTATCAAAAGTTTCAGCTACCACAAATGGATTGAAATTATGCTATCGGAAATTATACTTTTATGATGATTTTTTTACAAATGAACAACTGGCCAGATTTCCTGTGTATCCATTGCTTGGACAAACATTCCTCATTCAGTGAAGGAATTGACCACACCTTTACAAGAATTGATAGCCTAGATATGAATCCATCAACTAGAAATGCTATAACTATAGTAACAGTATACAATTGTTGACCTCTCCAGAGGTCAACCGGCAAAATTGTATACCGAGACTGTAAACCGAGAAACTACTGTTGACAGAGACCGAAGGTCGAGGTCAACAGTAGTTTCAAGGTTTACAGTCGAGGTATATGATTTTGACGGTTGACCGAATGGAGAGGTCTACAATTGTTTTGTTAGTCAGAAGAAACTAATAATACACAAATAGACGACAGTCATCAATCATGGCTTCATTTCACAACCTTTTCTGCGAACCACGCCAGCGATAATTTTTTAAGAAAATCTGAAGACAGTGGTAGTTAAACTCTCTGTTTTTTGCACATAGCAGCGTACTCACTACTCACTAGTAAGTTAATGTTAATTTTTCGTTTCTCTTTGTATTTTTGCTATACATGTCGTCTAGCAAAGTCAAAATATCACTTTCATCAACGTTTACGAAATATCCGTCTACCATGTTTTATCTGTAAACATTATGACGTCATATTCCCCATAATTCACAAGTGTAGTACAGTAACATAAGCGGTCAATAATATGATATCCCATGATGCACAGGTGAGGTACAGGCAAAAATGTTGACCGCTAATTGACCAATCAGATGCGAGTATTTACACTGAGGTACTAACAATAGTAGTGGTTTCATCCCTCATACTGTTAACTTGAAAATATACTTGTATACGTGTACATATACATGTATATGTATATAATATCATATCACAGTATTTATTGTGTATAAGCTTTGTTTAGAATTAGAAAAGTGCCTATGCAAACACATGGGTTACCATAATAGGTGTAACCAGGGATAAGGCAGTCCAACATTTTACATTTATGTTTCTTTAAAGTGAAACTGTAAAAATGAAGTTAATGATAATAGTGGTATTTCCCCTTTAACCACTTATTTGCCCCTTTGCCTCATCAATCAAAAGTTGCCTCACCAGTGACTTATTTCCAGATCCTGACTATATAGTGATCAACTGATTTCTCACTTTATTGAACTAATTATCTGACTACTTCTACCATACTATAACTTTATACATATAAGGTACAAGTTGGTTTTACTTTTTTGAGTTTTGATTCGGGATCTCCTTCCATGACTGGTGAAGGTCTTCCACATTTGTATCCAAGTTCTTTTTCTTTGCAAATCCAAGGCGGCAATACATGGACACTGCATTCTGAAATTAAAATTGAATTTTATATTCAGTCACATGAAATATCTCAAACTACATGTAGGTAACTATTCTAAATAAATGAGAACAAGAGTCCTTTGTTAAACAGGAGATTCTACAGGCCTATAGCCTAGGGGGGGTAGTTCGAGGGGTCGAGCGACCCCCCTTGCCAAAAATTCTTTCAAAATCATGCAGTTTTTCACCATTCTGAGCACTTTTCAAGTAATTTTGGCCATTTTTGAGCCAAATTTGTCAAAAGTGAACCCCCCTGGAATTTAAAAAAAAATAAACCCCCTTGGTAAATCTCAGCTATGGGCCTGTTCTAACCCCTTCTACTCCCCCTCAACACAGTTAAAGGCAGTATGGCTATGTGAACATAAAACAACATATCACACATATCACAGACCTCCATGTTAATCGTTAACACTGAATTGTTAATACTTTTTAAAAGCAATTATGAGGAAATTATTTTGCGTGTATGTTTTCAAGTTGTAACTAATTTTTTGTAAGATTTACTAGTTTTCATCTATCCATGAAAGGTGGCAACACTAACAGACTAACCTTGACTAGTTGTAAATCTATCTGTAGTACACTGGCAAGCTCTGCTACGGTTGTGTGCTCATCTATAGAAACAAATATCTTGTAGAGTAGTGTCTCAAAATAGTCACCAAGCACCCTGTTCATCACAAAACCTTCTAATGGTGGAACTGAAAGTAAAGCATATGTTTTTCAGAAATGTATTGAAAAGTATTTTTAAATATTCCGACATCTATTTTTTATATAATTCAAGGGAATCATTTTGTGCTGTGCAGTGTGGAATTCCTATTTGCACATAGCACCACATCAGTATACATGTACTAGCATATACATGAAATATGAAATAAATCACCTGTATCATTCTCCTCTCATTTAAAAGTTTTACCTGAAGTTTGCCTAATTGAAGGTGTTAGAATAGATTGGTTCCAATCGTAATTGAGCTAACTGACACTTTCTGGACTCAGCCCAGATAATTGTGCCAGTTTGGGTTGATGAAGGAGACAATAATATGAAGGAAGTCTCCCACCAACTCAACTGACCACATGTTTCTGTGTTAACTTACCTATTATACAGTCATCATCTGATATCGGAACCTCTAAGTAAATTAAACCTTTTCTGTACAAACCTATAACACAATGATTCAGAATTAATTTTTTTAAATCTAAAATTTAGAACAGTACAGTTCAATATTAAATTCAATAGAGGTTATAAGTAATTTCATATACAGGGTGTCCGGAAAGTAAAGATACCAATGCTCTTATTTCAAGAGATTTACCTGTTATTAGATGAAATTGCTCCAGAATGTGGAATGACATTATAACAATATATCCTGCAAGTGTCATGACTTTAAGTTTCAAAATGAAAAAGTTATGGTTGTTATGGTAACGGGAGTCGAGGGTAAGTGGAGCAATGTCACAACCGTATTCTACAAATCTCTTTCCTGCTCATATGATCTTGGCACTCCACCATCTATTCCTATATTATATCAAATTATGTACCACAACAGCATAGGGATTAGTAATGTAACATTATTTGATCATTTCATATTACTACTTTCATTGAATATCCATTATTTTCGCCATTATCGACACATTATTGGTGCATCTTGACTGGCGCTTCAAAGACCTGACAAAACCGCTGCTGTCTGTCCATCTTTCAGATTGCTGATAACATTGTCTTCCAGCTGAGTCTTATTTGTATGTTGAACTTTTAACAAATATTGCTTTCAAATGGTCATTAAGGTAGAAGTCTAAAGAGGCTTTATCAGGTTAATATGGAGGATTGATAGAAAGGTTTAGTGTCAAGACACTCCATTGTAAGATCTGTTTTTTGCTTTGTGAATTCACGGGTAACTAGAGTATCCGCGTATATTGAGTATGACCGGTTCTAAGCTTACGAGTGTGACCGTATTTCTGTTCCTATAAACAGACGAGGTGAGTACTTGCTTTTTATGAACACTTTCGAACGTTTTCTTTTTATCCTACTTGGTCAATGAATGATACTTGGTATACTTATAATGCCAGGCATATCACAAGGGGCCTTAATCAAGAGAAAACGTATTAATATTAGATTGAAGCCGTAAAATCCTAGTTTCCAGCATCTTTGATCAGTTTTTGTGTAACACAACGCAACTCCGAAGAGGATGACACATCTTATGTATAATATATAGCTAGATCTACGAATTAGTCATGAATATTTTAAATAATTTAGCCTGCTCTGTCCAAATATGATACATCTTTGAATTTTTGAGAATACGAATGTCACTGGTGCCCCATTATTGGAGAATACGGTTGTGAAATGTCTTGGATCGGCATTTAACCGGTGTTTGGACTTTTAGTGGTGACAGATGCAAAAGGTATTTCGAAATACCAGAATGTTGAGGCTCTTCAGACGCTTACAGTAGGTCTCCAATATAAAGTGGGAAGAACTAAATAAGACTTATAGTGTCAAGAGCCTATTTTTTCCAAAAGAATTCAGTTAAACGTAGACCGAAAACAATAGCCTTGTTTGATTTTAATTATGTTGTCCCATTTCAGACCTTTTGTAGATTTGTGGTTAAATCAGTTGACCCGATTTCAGAATGTTGGCGAAAGTAATGGCAAAATATGCTTTTAGAACATTTTTTATCGAATTTCAGTAATATAATAAGACAGGTTTTATACCAATACATTACAATGCATGAAAAGAAAAGTTTATCATGTATTTGAAAATATAAACATATTACTTTGTAACCAAATTGCTGAAACTACACATTTAACTTAAAATACAACATTTTTCAGATGGCAGCATCAGTAACACCTCTTATTGAGGAGCTTGACCTCAGTGTCATCAGTGTTGGCGCAGAATGCATATTATGTACCTGGATGAAAACAGAAATGAACTGGATAAAATTTGTCAGTCTACCCATAAAGGTGTTCAACAGCTGATTGGTACTAGCGATCCCGATGCCACAAAACGCAAGATACTGTTGTGCGCGTTGTGTGAATTTAACACCACACACAAAAATAGTCTTACAAAGCATATGTCCAGAAAGCACACCTCTGTTTATGATGTTTTTGAATGCGATCATTGTGGCAAGATTTATACAAGAACACAAATGTGTACAAAATGTCCCCACCAATGGGTGATCCCATGAAATGGTTATCCTGAAAATGAGTAGACAAGACTTTACCAACACAATTTGAGGACTGAAAATCCAAAATGGCCACCTTAAAATTTACCCAGAATGCCAAAAATTTAGTCAGTTCTAGATTTTCAAACTAAGAACCACCCCTGAAAATTTTTAATTGATCCGTCACACAGTTAACTAGAAAACATGTAAACAAGACTATACAGACAAGATTTTAGGATGGAAAATCCAAAATGGCTGCCTTGACATTTACCCAGAATGTCATAAAACTAATCTGTTCCTAGATTTTCATACTAAGAATCATCCCTGAAAATATGACATTGATCTACCAAATGGTTCACCTGAAAACGCGTAGACAAGACTTTACAGACAAGATTTTTGGACAGAAAATCCAAAATGGCTGCCATGACATTTACACAGAATGCCAAAAAAGTAATCAGATGTAGATTTTCACACTAAGAATCATCCCTGAAAATTTGAAATTGATCTACCAAACGGTTCACCTAAAAACGCGTAGACAAGACTTTACAGGCAAGATTTTAAGACGGAAAATCCAAAATGGCTGCCTTGACATTTATCTAGAATGCCAAAAAACTAATCAGATCTAGATTTTCATACTAAGAATCATCCCTAAAAATTTGAAATTGATCTACAGAACGGTTCACCTGGAAATGCATAGACAAGACTTTACAGACAAGATTTTAGGACAGAAAATCCAAAATGGCTGCCTTGACATTTGCCCAGAATGCCAAAAAACTAATCAGTTCTACATTTTCATACTAAGAATCATCTCTGAAAATTTGAAATTGATCTACCAAACGGTTCACCTGAAAACGCGAAGACAAGACTTTACAGACAAGATTTTAGGACGGAAAATCCAAAATGGCTGCCTTGACATTTACCCAGAATGCCAAAAAACAAATCAGATCTAGATTTTTATACTAAGAATCATCCCTGAAAATTTGAAATTGATCCACCAAACGGTTCACCTGAAAACACGTAGACAAGACTTCACAGACAAGATTTTAGGACGGAAAAATCCAAAATGGCCGACAATAAAAAAGTGATTATGTGTTTTTGCTGATTTCTTCTTACAAAATTATCACATATAACTACTGTTAACAATAACATAGGCTTTTACAACAAAGTACATCTGAAATTATTTATAAAGCTACTAAATAGTTAAAGTATGAAAACTCAAAAACACCATTCAATATGATACAAAGTATTATCGTGCGCTAACTTTTCTTAAGACATTCAAAATGGCTGACATGACTGAGCTAACAGGTCCAAAACCTAATCAGATCTAGAATGAAGTGAGCTGAACAAGATGTTAAAGTTTTAAAAGCAACTGTGAAGCCGTTTTTCTTAAAGTTTGCAGACAAGGATTTTAGCATTTGACTTCAAAATGGCCGACAGGAAGTAGGTATCGAGTTAAAATTTTTTCATCCACATCTGTATGCCCTCATAAGTTATCCCTGAAAATTTGAAGGTGACATCTGTAGCGGTTTTGGAGAAAACTCCCGGACGTACGGACAGACGGACGGACAGACAGACGGACGGACAGACGGACGCGCCTAGGCCGACAATATGGCCCCACACTATGTGGTGGGGACATAAAAAGCAAGGACACCTTGAACGATCACGTTCGAGGATACCATAATGGAGAGTTTAAGTGATCTCAATGCATACACTCGTATTATACACCGGTAACATTCCGATCACATCAATCAGTGGGCCGTGTTACACTCGTTTCCATGACATTTCACAAGCGTATCCTCTGGGAAAAGATAAATCCTTCTCTTGCTCACTCTACGGGGGATCATATAAACTGAGATTTGGAGATCTTGTTCAGGTTAGCCATAAAAAGGTTTGGGATTTGTTTTTTTCTACTGTGATATTAATGATTTGGCTCTAAGACGAGAAATCTGTACTTTCTGATTGATATTCCATTATGAACAGTTACATTGCTAAAATAGCTCATGTTTAACATTTTTTTGTTACATTACTATTAAATACAGCATAAACTATATTCAACAAACACAATTTCAAAAAGGATAATATAGAAGTTAACCTTTATTTTCCATTTTTAAGCAGCTGTGCCTCTCATGACTTTCCAAAACAGGTCATATTCGTAGCCTAAGAACCGGTCATACTCAATATACGCGGATACTCTAGTATCCCGTGTGAATTGGTGCATCGTGAAGATATTGACTTTCCTACTAATGGCCAAGACCATTTCTTCTAGGCACATGTATAATATTTCTTTCATTATACTGGTTAGTGACATAACATAGTTCTGATATGTAGCAATGACATCATTATATAAAAGAAAATACTATGGCAGCAATAATACAATGATGAACAAAACAAAACATTTATAGAAAATACAACAAAAAACACTGTTTCAAATGGTTGTCTTTTAGCAATTTTTCACTTTTTAGCATTGTTCTGGAACTGCTCCACATACCTCTCACATCCGTAACCATAACAACCGTAACTTGAATACATTTAGACTATATGTAATGAAAGTTGGTAGATATATTGTAATATTGTTCCTCTACAATCTGTAGCAATTTCATTTCAAAAAATCAAAATTTCTTAAAATAAGAGTATTTGTATCTTTACTTTCCGGACACCCTGTATAAACATGAACTAAACCCCTTATAAGGGAACTCTTCACAACATATTTGGACACATTTTGTCAAAAAATCAGCTAGATTGAAAAGAAAACCAATAAAATACAGCATTATTCCTGAAACATATGGAACACCCTGTAGATAACAAATGAACAACTTATGTGGTTTTATTGGACAAACTCACTGTTAACAACTTTATAGTCCATGGTTCCGGCTGGCCTTGGTCCCTTGTCTATGACACTGTCTATCACCGTCTTCTCAATCAACATACACAGCTAAAAAGTAATCTTTGTTTTTACAATTTATAACTAGTCCATGGCGATGACAAGTATCATCTTCACAAATTGACTTTATTGCGTTAGATATATCCCTAGAGATCTTGTCTACTTTAGATATTATGTCAATATCCTAGCATTAGCTAATGCAGTCCTGATAAATGGACCGAGCTTTTGGAGACTGTGATAAGAATGTATGTATCTGATATGGACAAACTTTCACTTATAAGTTATTTCCATTTATAACTGACCACAGAGCATGCTTAAAACTGAATGTCCAGCTTCAGATGCTGTACAGAAAACCTGTCTAATCCAAATGCCTCAACATATAGGTCAATGAGAGATAACAAATTTGGGACAAAGAAAATGTGTCCACATTGAGAGGTGTTCATATTAGAAGTGTTTGGATATACATGTTTCACTGTATGTACTATGCATGGTTCTTTAACAAAAAATACATGTATTAGCCAAAAATGGAAGAGGTGCCAGGGAAGGGGCAAAAGAAAAGGTAAAATGTGAGATTTTTGTGTTTGAATGAATGTTGACTACATACCCTTATATCTTCCTCTGTAATATAACCGGCATGTACAATCCACCAGGAGTCTATGAAGATGTTTTCTATTGGTTGCGCAGGGAGCAAGTCCTTTACAGGCTTTCGGCGAAAGAATTTCTGGAATATAAAAATTACATGTGCAAGGTGTACTATGAAGGATTTAAAAATCTGTGATTCCTCAGATTTTTAACAGCATTTTTAGCGTATACCACATTATTTTCTCTACACATTAGACACATTACACAATAGAAGTTCAAATTGATTTCTGTTACTAATAAAATAAAAACTCATTGCTATGGTAACCCAATCTGTCTGGAGAGTTGATAATACATAATCAATCACTGCAAATGTAAAACTCTTGATTACCCTGACATTATAGTAACATCGGAAACCTCAAATTAACTAATTAGAAAACTTGTCTGAAGCCTATTAAAAATTACCCTCAGCAATAGCTAAACCATGTATAAACTCTTAAAAGAAGGGATGATTATTTGAACTTCCCCATATTCTAATCAGACTATAGTTGGTACATATACAGAAGCTCGTTTTTTTTGTTCTGAGAAACCAACATTGATTTCACACCCAAACTCCCATAAAATATCACAAGAGCTACATATGAGACTGTTATGATCCTATCAGCATCCATCATTATGAGAGAATAGTGAGGCCAATAGGGATAAATAGCATTGAAAAATCACCAGACTAATGTAAAAGCCATGACTCTATTGGACAATAAGATCAGTTTTACATCGGAACATCAATTAGACTAGGTTAGAATACCTCCTTTCTATTTGAGATTTTTTCATCATCAGGCTCACTGTTCTACACCTACAGGCTAATGAAGCCTCAATATAATCTTTAATTCATAAGGGATGTTAACAGAAGTTTGATAGTTAGGATCGATAGATTATCAAGTGATATTTCACCTACTTGGTCTAACTGACATTAAAGGTCATCATGGTCATTCCTCACTTGGCGAAATATCAATAAAGAATCAATATCAATAAAGATAATACTAGAAAAATACACAGAATAATAATATATTAAAATAATTCTAGTACAGTGTTCATAAACATGGTCTACATAAAAATATGGCCCCATCCTAAAAAAAGGAATTACGAGATATGCCCATTTTAATGACAATTTTTAATGGCAGGAATTGAACTTATAACCCATATTTAGCAAGTTAAATAGCTCCTAGAGTTAAAAAACACTGCAAAGAAAAAATAACACCAGATTAGCAACAATATTATTGCATTTAATTTAAGAACGTAAGTACAACATGCCAAAAAATAATCAGCTTGAGAACTCCAGATTTACGTCAGCAGAACAAGCTGTAAATGTTCAGATACTGTGAGCCTTAACTAAAACTAGAAAAACAGCAACTCCACGGAGTAGCAAATCCCACCGAACAAAACATATCATTCTTATTATAGCTAGTGTAAATGTTGAAATGTTTGTGCACTTTGTGATAGAAGCATGAAATTTTGAAATTCAGCCGCCATCTTGAAAAATTATTTCTTGAACAGAGCTACTGTGTCCCTAGGCATAATCATATAAAATTTCATCCAAATCTGTTCACTTGTATTTGAGTTATCAAAGATTACGTTTTTTACGAAAAATTGCCGCTATTTTTAAAAAATTAAGTGGCCATCTTGAAAAAATTTTGTCGAACATAGCTACTGTGTCCCTGAGCATCATCATATAAAATTTGAACCAAATCCGTTCACTGGTATTTGAGTTATCAAAGATTACATATTTTTACGAAAAATGGCCGCCATTTTAAAATTAAGTGGCCATCTTGAAAATCTCTTTTTGTGCGAAACTCCTTTGTCCCTAGGCATCAGCATATAAAATTTGAACCAAATCCGTCAAGTTGTATTTGAATTATCAACGATTACATTTTGACGAAAAATGGCGGCCATTTTGAATTGAGCGGCCATATTGAAAATTCCTTCTCGAGCAGAGGTCCTACACTCATAAGGCATAAGCCTCTAAAATTTGAACCAAATCCGTCAACCGGTATTGGAGTTATCGCCCGGACACACGGACAAACGAACGGATGGACGGACGTCATTTGTTGTTGCTGCATTAGTTTCTTCATTCATTGTCTTCTTTCTTTGTCTTCTTTCTTGCGGACAGACAAACAAACAAACGGATGGACGGACAGACAGACGGTTTCTATATATCCCCCTCAAACTTCGTTCGGCGGGATAATCACAGAGGCAGATGTAGAGCCCTTAATTGACAGGTGTAAGGGAGAGAATCACTTTAATTTTCTGAAATGTGAAAATGAAAATTTACACCCACTTGAGAAAAAATCGTGTGGAGATCATTGGGTATTTAGGTTTGGCCACAAACTTATTGTCACCACCAAAAAAATATGAAAGCGCCGTGTGGGGTATCAGAGCTTTTTATAATGCCGGAAGTCACACCATTGCAAAAGTGTCTAGTATTGATCACAATATTTTGATCTTCTAAGTATCTAAAAAGAAAAATTTATACTGACCTTGGATGAGCGACACTGGTTCATTAAATCTATGTATTGGTTTCGTCCAATTCCCATTAACCTCAGACCTGAAACAATAAATATAGACATGAACCTCTAGTATTGTTTTGGTGTTTTTTCACTAACTTAAATACATGAAGTGTACTTGGAATTGGACTATAACTAAACGAAGATAATTAATTTAAAGTTTTAGAAGATAATTAAAGCTTGTTTCACTTCAATGGCAATATCATTCTATTAGGGTAATATTCCAGGGTATAGTCTAACATTATAATCCCAGTCAACTCAGTCTATGATAGTGAACAAAATCCACTGTAAGATAAGATAAGATAATTGTTGAAATCATGGAATATGCGTAACTAGTTTGATATGAACTTTCGGGTCACGCAAATAGCTATGCGAAATGCATAGTGGGAAAATATTGACCCATCAAATTTTGTCCTTTTTGAGTGCTTTTTCAGTACATATTTGCGTACATATTTGCAAACGTTCTGATTCAAAGAGCGAACCGCGAAAGGGAGAATTGATAAAAATAGTTAATTATCTTCAAAATTTGAAAAAAAGAGAAAATTTAATCTATAAACAAGACCCTTTAGTACCATGCTGTTTCAAATATGATTTTCTAATAACTAAAACAGTTTAGCAAGAACTGATTAGACATGTCCATGTATTATCACCGCTGGGTAGAACTAATCACTATTCTATGAAAATTGAAAGACAATTTTTGTATTTTAAGAGACCTCACCACGCTAGCTAATTATCGACCTTATGTTATTAATGATACTGGATCAATCATTGTCGGGGAATATCAACCAAGCTTTGCTATCCAGTTTTATGTCTTTAACAAGCTTAAGAGGTTTAAATTGATATAAAATAGGACTCGTTTCGACAACTTAAATTAGGATGAGTTGAATAACAGGACCTTTCATTATACTTACAGTCATAATCACTGTTCCACAACTAGTTACTCTGATGGAACGTCAATGTAACAAAGTGGATGAACTTCCTGGATACGAGTTATTGTTTGCTCGATTTAAACTTATGTAAAAGTCATGTTGCGGATTATCATTTGGCACAAAGCATTTAGACCATAGCTTTTGTTACATTGACGTAAGTCATCAAAGTAACCTACATTGGTAATATAACCAAGTTTCGTCAATGTAACAAAAGCGAGGGGCTAAATATATTAATTGCAAATTCCAAATTAAAACTAAACTATATTTTCTAGCTTTGTGCAACTGACTTATAAGTAGGTTTAAATCAAGAAAACAAAAAACTTGTAACCAGGAAGTTCATCCATTTTGTTACATTGACGTTCTGTCAAAGTAACCAGTTGTGGAACAGTGATAATAGACTTGAGTTCCAATCAATTTTTTGTGGTCATTAGCAGAAAATGAGGGTTATCAAATAAATGAAAAAATACTGTTGTAATTCTACCCTGACTTAACTACTACACTCCCCTCTGAATAAGAGCAATCATTATACAGTTTGGCCTTCGATCAATCAGTAAGCACCTCAGAACCACATAAATGATTTATATAGCATCCAGTCTTTCAGAAGTTAATCAATGTTAAAAAGTATCTTGAAATGAGAGGTTAGTTCTATTATAAAGCATGTTTAAATGAGCCTGTTATGTTGGTCAATACTGGGTAGAACAATGACTTCAGAGGATATATATAGAAAACTGTTCTTTTAGCAATGACAAGCTCAGGTTGGCTTGGTGAGTTCATGGTATATGAAGCTATCTTTTAAGAAGCCATATGTCAAGTGAATGTGAAGAGTATGGTTATAAAGAGTATAAGGGTAATTTCTCCATCATGATTAGCTTCTATAATTATGATAGTTATCAAAATTACAAATGGATGAATATAGAATAATAAGAATAATCAAGGAAAAAATGTTTTAACTACATTTTCCAATGATGACAAAGAAGGAATTTCATTGTGATCAAAAGTTCCTTTTCTAAGGGGTTACAAAAGCAACAGATAACATGCATTATTCTCCAGATGTTTTTTCAAAAGCACTTGTTGTTTTGAGGAATATTGCACTGTTTCCATGTTAAAGATTTCTGTCCAGGCATGCTCTCGGTGAAATCATCAAAAAATGTTCAAAAATACAATTTTCTGAAATTGAAATCTCTGTCTTAGCCATTATTTGAGTCATTTTTTGGATTGCTTTCACACATATTATCAATAATATGTCATATCTATCCATTTTTCGTAAATAATCTTGTCAAATTTGATGAACTGACTGGCTTATTTGGTAAAACTTAAGATAGATAGATTTTCTAATTTGCGTGATTTTGCTAAAGCTACGTTCGCACCAATGTCGATGGCGAATGCCACGCTTTAAATCGGCGAGCGAAGCGCCATCATTTTTGTTTACTTTTCCAAAAATATCACAATCTCCTAAGTAATGTTACGCTCTGATAAGCTCTGATACGCTCTGATTTCCCGACTTGTTACGGTTCCTCACGCTTTGATCCCGCTTCGACCAGGCTTTGTTACGCTTGCATTATTACACTTTGATGCGATTATGACGCTTTAAATCAGGCTCTGATATGATGGTTACACTCTGTTACGAGCTGTGTCCACTTGACACGCGTCATTTAGATGTCTCAAGCTTTGCTACGATCTGGCATGAAGATCTGACACAAGGTCAGACGCTTTCATCAATATCTGACACTTTTTGTCATGCTTTCATGAAGGACCCTCAAGCTTTTTAACGAATTGAGCTGCTTTAATCAAGGATTGAAACGCTTTGTTAAGCTTTGTTACGCTTGACAAGCTTCCTCACGCTCTCTCCGACAAACATCATGTCTTCTTCAGATAGGTCATGATCTGGTCCATCTGAAAGGATCCGTTACCCCATGTACCTAAAGGTGCCCCTAAAGGTTTCATTGAATGTAACATGGAAATAGTTACTTTTATAAATTATGAACACATCCAAAACAAAAAAATTAGGTCATAGGGATTAAAACTAAGGTCATTTAGTGCATTTAAGTTTGACTATGCAAATCATTCTAAATATCATGTTAGGGGTATGTTAGTCTTCACTCATGACTATTTTAAGTATATTGACCATTCAATCTATCGATATATATAAATATCATTAAGGAAGGACACTAACATATTGAAAACACAAATCATAAAACAACCCCTAAAATGTAGTATATCTATGAATCTTAGTCTTGAATCTCAGCAAAAGTATCACCTCAGCTGGTATGCAGAAGGTTTAACCTAGGATATTCAATTTAGAGGACATATTAAACATCATTATCAAAGGTAGGACACAAAGGGCAACATATTGAAAACACAAAACCTAGGTACATTGTATTCAACTCAAATATTAAAAATCCAGTTGTGACTTTCCAATATATGATATATTTATTTGGCATTTTCAAAGAATAATTCAATTGAAGCTAAAGGTATAAAGTCAAATGGTTGCTTTTTAAAATTGAAAAGGTGCATGTAGGAGAGTTTTCATCAGTTTGAAACCCGTTGTTTTGCTATCAAACAAGTGGAGGTATTTTAATCTATCCATTGTATAACATATAAATAAAATATTATGAGGTAAAATATTTTAGTTTGACTTAGGATGAGAACTATCTTACAAGCAGTGTCCCTTTAATGGCTAAATGGATATTGATTCCGTCTTTCAGCAATATATCATCTTTTGGGACAAGCATCAAAAATAAATTGACCCTTTTCCCTTTAAACAGCTACATGGATATTGATTTAGTCCCTCAGCAACATATCATCTTCAGGGGTAGGCACTTGAATGAAGAATAAAAAATAGATTGACCCATTAGTTGAGAATTACCTTACAAGCAGTGTCTCTTTAAATTGGTAAATGGATATTGATTCAGTCCCTCAGCAATATATCACATTCAGGGGCAGGGATGACTGATGAATCAAAAGTATATTGACCCTCTGATTCTTTGTTAAAAATAGTTTAGTGTTCATTAGGATGAGAACCATCTTACAAACAATGTCCCTTTAAATGGCTGAATGGATAATGACTCAGTCCCTCTGCAATATATTATCTTCAAAGGCATGCATGTATGATCGATCAAAGATACATTGGCCTATTTGTTTATTTGGGTGAGAACTACCTTACAAGGAGTGTCCCACTAATGGCTAAATGGATATTAATTAGTGGTGTAGATAAGTACTCACGTAGTCATTGAATCGTCTCGCCAAGGTGTTATAGAATTCGGCTCAATTAGGAGTTCAGATTTCGCGAATTTACACGAGTCTGAGACTCGCAAATTTGTATTCGTATTCGCGATTTCACAGCGAATCCTGACATCAAATGCATTGTTTTTTCTTACAAACAGGGTGAAACTATGTACAAATGATTGTTCCGTGTATCATTTGTTTTATTTGAATGAATATGAGTAATAAATCTAATTTAAATGAAATATTTTTGAGTCTATTTTTTAATTCCATGATTAATTCAGTCCGTAGAACCGGAAATGAAAGTGCTGCAACAATGTGTGGCGGGAAACATAAAATAAACAATATTTCAATTTTTGTCTTAATTAATCGTAAGTATGTTATTTAAATCGGTAGATATGGACAACTCTTGATATACCTAGCGTACCTAGGGTATTGTGCAAGTGAACAACATTGAAAAAAGGACTAAAAAACGACCATATGACATGCAATGGTAAGATTTTTTCTTGTTTATTATTTTGATGAAAAATCGCGATTCTTATTCGATCTCAGACTCAAAATCACGCGAATTACTCGATTCCAAAAATCCCCGCGAGTTACAACACTAATATTAATTCAGTGTCTCTTCAACATATCATCTCAAGAGATAGACATGACTGATGAAGCAAAAGAAGATTGACCCATTTGATTCTTTGTTTAAAACATTTTAGTGTTCATTAGCATGAGAACTACCTTACAAACAGTGTCCCTTTAATGACTAAATGGATATCAATTCAGTCCCTCTGCAAAGTATCCTCTTCAGAGGCATGCATGACTGATAAATCAAAAATAAATTGACCCATTTGATACTTGTCTGATAGTTTGTTGCCTTGGTGTCTGGCAGATCCAAT